TCTTTTTAAAAAGAGAAGTTATGAAGCTACGTTATCTAATAATGTGTCTGTAGTGATATTTGGATATGAACCTATTGCATATACTACTAGAGGTTACGGTTTCTACTAAATGAATATAATGACTGAAAATGGTATTTCTCTTGACTGTCAAAAAGAATTTTCATACTGTTTGAATCTTTTAGATAAATTGTATTTAATATAAATAAACACATATTAGTTATGTAAAAGGGCAAATTTCATTAGCTATTCATGTTAATGAAAAGTAATAACTATTCACATTACTAAAAAAAATATCTAAAAAACTGTTTTTCTGTCAAGGTCTCCTTAAATCTTACTATGCCTTTTTATCCGTAAACCTATGTGAGAAAGACAATGGTCCTAATGTAGGATACTGGGCATTAAAATGTCGTCATAATAAAGTAAACTATTTTTACTGCAGAGAAAATGTATTTCAGAGTTAACTATAATATAGAATAAAATTAATAAAAACAATAGGCATAAGCAGTATCGGAAGTAAGAAAATATTGTTACGTTTTTCCTCTACCTATTCTTCTGACACCAGTTGTTACATTATTTTCTTCCTTCACGTACGTACGGGGTTCGTAGATTTGGAGTGAATAACGACGATACTTTATGAAGTGCGAAACACACTTTTGCGTATTGAGACAGCTCCAAAACACGTTTACAACGTCGAAGATCTACATAAACAAGTGACACGATCAGCGACAGCCTTCAGGTTATAAACTATGCCGGTGGAGAGGGCACCCTTCCTGTAAGCAGCCGACTTGTCGGAGTTCACGTACTTCACGACTCCACTCGCGATGACCCGACGACACACGAGACGATCCCGACTCTTCGGTTCAGTCTTCCGGATCTAACACGCTCTCTCGACGATGCACGAACCGCGTACACTAACAGACTCCTTCGGGGGACTCGACGACCCACGGCACTGGCTGCCCGGGTCAATTCGAACTCCGCTGGGATTGACTCGCTAGACGAGACACACTCACGTCGTGAGAGACACCACTCTCGATGAAGCACACTCACTGACTGGGACCAGCAGGGTTTATAAACTTTCGGATGTGGTTCGGGCCATTCTGGACTAAACCGGTAAGAATTCGTCCAGAAGGTTCTCCCAACCATCCATGTATATCGCCATTTTGTCGCCAAGGGCGATTTCGCCAAATGTGGCTTTCCCTTGCCCTTTTATGGAACCTAAAACGCTTGCGAGAAGCCATCTCTCCCCCTTTAGTTCGTAACAATATTTTCCCAAGCTTATACTTAAGATTCCTAAAATGTGGTCCTTAAAGCGATTTTGATTACGAGGCTTCATTAATTAGAAAAGTGCTTACACTGTCTGTTCCTCGCTCTTTGTTTATGATAAAACGTCGAGGTGTAAGGATCTTAAGTTTTACTAACGTTTATTTTATTTTAAATCTTTACTATCACTTCTTATTTTCTACTTCCGGCCAGAATTATAAGCGTTAAGGTATTTATGCAAAGTTTGTCTGGCGAACGCCAATAAGTATTTAAGTGTGGCTTTTTGCCAAGCGAGAGGAAGGAAGCAGTGAGTCGAAGCAGGCCGCTTACCTTAGAAGTTTTACTCAGTTGCTGGTGCCTTCAGGCCAGAGGTTTTTAATCCTCTGATAATTTTAAACGTATTGTAGTGTTCACAGTTCTCTGTACTACATAGGCTCCTGTTAAATAAGGCCAATCTTCCACGTTATATTTTAAAGTTAAATTAGAGTTAGTTTATTTTTATTTTTACGTTTAGACCCACAAGTGTGGGTCTTGTATTCCGAAGTACGGAATTTTGTAATAGAGAAAAATAAAGGGTTAGTTACCTTTTGTGTATCCTGTCTACTTCCCACAGTTATTGAACATAGCTTTAGTAAGCTCTCTGTTACGAGTCAGGTCCTTACATGTTCCCGAAGAAAGTAAGACGGAACATTGAACCTGATAGAGGAACCTAATAAACAAACTACTTAGCTATTTATCGCTGAGTAGACTCTAGAACGGTAAAATTACACTTTATTTCACCCAAATAAGTAATACAATCGGCCCCTTCTCGGGATTTAACTCAGAATAAGAAAATACTCGTAAAAACCTAATCTAATATTAACTAAACTAGACTTAGCGGAAGATAGACAAAATTATCTAACGTAGTTGGCGGAAGATTACTTCCCACCTGCATGACACCTGTGGGAAGCGAAAAACCCACTGTAATATATCGGGCTTGCTATTATAACGTTGGGAATACTGATTCCGACTTCAGTTTTGTGCTGCCATCTATGTTCAATCGATTGAAACAGAATTAGCACATTTGTTTTGAAATTTCGAACGCGTTATGTGAGACCTATTCTACTGTGACATATTTATTGCTGCACGATTCTATTGCAAATGTGAGTCAAACGCAAGGAATGAAGATTTCTTCGAAAATATTGTCTCTTCTTTCAGTAATGAGCCACGCCTGAAAGTATCATTCATTTCAACTGAGAAGGAAAAGGATTATTTTGGAATGATTTTCAGTGCAGAAATTTTACTGAATATTGTTGACGAAACAAACTCATATGCAAAGCAGCCTAAGGAAAGGAAGAGATTGGGTCTTATTACAAAAATGATTATCTTGAACTGGAAAGACCTCACATCAGAAGAATTGTAAGCATGGATAGGTGGGAATTTGCACATGTGTGTACACCAATTGCCTGAACTAAAAACACCACTGGAGCACCTATTCTCAATGTTCAATCAGTAGCAAGAGTAATGACAGTAAGGATCAATCAGTAGCAAGAGAAGCCATTCAAGAAAATAACTTTACATGTAAATGATAACGACACAAATTCACCCCGTGGGCAACCTGGACATGATAAACTGCATAAAATCAGACCAGTCCTCTCACAATTCAATGATTCGATATCTAAAGCCTAAGAACCTTCATCAACCTTATCAATAGATGAATGTATCATAGCTTTCAAAGATAGAACTTGATTAAAACAATATATGCCAATGAAGCCCATAAAAGGAGGTTACAGTGTGTGGTGTTGAGCAGCCTCTAAGACCGGATAGATTCAAAAATTTGAAATTTATTATGGAAAAGAAACTTCTGGAAATAAGGCTAAAATATTGAGCTTAGGGGAAACAGTAGTAACTCAACTAACGGAAGATGTGAAACACACAGATCGGCTTATAGTCTATGATAACTATTTCACATCTTTTAGGCTTGCAAAAAATCTACTTGTAAGTCGTCTATTTTCTGTGGGGACTGTGAGGTCGCAAAGGAAGGATATTCCACCAATGATAAAAACAAATGCCAAATTCCAAAGAGGTGAATCAATGCTAATAACGAAGGCAGGTGTTGCTGCAATAAAGCGGATGGACAAAACGGCTGTTATTTGTTGACTACTGCACATAAACCCGTGATTATTACATCAGTTAATCGGACAGAAAAGGATGGTGCTAAAACAGAAGTACCTTGCCCAAAATCCGTTGCTGTATATAACGATATCATGGGAGGGGTTGATCGATTCGATCAAAGAAAATCTGTAAAATGAATAGGAAAAAGATCTGTAAAATGGTATTGACTTTAGCATCGTAAGTAGTTTTTATAATGAGGCACGTAAACAAGAGAAACAGAATTTTATACCAGCTAACAGACCGTATAAGTCGTCAGCTAATAAACGGATATTCTTCAAGCGAATGGGAAGGCCGTCCAGGTAACTAGTGTGTGGTTCTGGATGATGTACGCTTAGTCACTGTGGGAAATCATATGCCGAAGATGGCTTCCAACTATAGACTATGTAGGAAATGTAGCACAAAAGCCCGAGGAAAGAGGACCCGCTATACGTGTACAGAATGGGGTATATCCTTGTGCATTGCGACATGTTTCTGATCTTTTCATGGCAAATAATCGCCATCAAATTGAAAATCTCTATGACCGTAAAAGGTTCCGTGGGAAGTATACTTCCCTAGAATTTAATTATAAACGAAACATTGAACAAAATAAAATATATTTAAGGGGAATTGGAACTCCAAAATCTTCAAAAAATTTGGATTTCGGATTTTTGCATTTTCAAATTCTCTACACTTTTATCTTTCTAAAAATACCATTCTTTAATCTCTATGAAAATTAGAACGGTAAAAAAAATCTAGTTTTAATTTGTCATCTACTGCTTTGATCCATGAGGATTTTTGCATAAAAACGCGTTTTTCTCCAAACGTGATTTTTTTATACTCGATGTACCTTTTCTCAGGAACTACTGCTCACAGGTATCTAAACTTTTTATGGCTTATTTATTAGGTTCTCTAATATTTACTGAAATGAGCTTTTTGTAATAAACTCAGAAAAAAGAATTTTTTAAAATTTTTTTGTGTGAGAAAAGTGCTAAATTTTACTATGCCTAACAAAATATCCTGTAATTTACTCTAAAATTCAAAATGTTTCAAAAGCTCATTTCAGTATAATCAAATAGGTATATTTTAATTATAGAAAAAATTTCAAGCTTGTATCTACAACGGATTTTGAGAAAAGGTACATCGAAAATGGCCAATTTAACATTGTCGGTATAGGGATTTCTGATACCCCTTAAATGATTTTGTTTAATTGGTTATGAAACACAAAAACCGGGAGAAATTCAAAAGAGAAATGAATGGCCTATGAAAAAGTGTTAAACTAAACTAGCCTGCGAATGTCAGTAGACACGTATAATACGGCCGAGCGTAACAGTTTCAATAATGGATTAGCCAGAAAGCAAACATGCTCCACTAAAGACTCCTAGCACACCCTTTCGAAGATAGTTGAACTTCCAATAACTCATTTGCAGTTATCGCGATTCTAAAACTCATTCTGGTAGGGAATTGTAGTGGGAAGCAAGAATTGAAAAGAAAGGATTCAGAAATTAAATAACTATTATAAAATTAAAATACACCTTACAACACATTAGAGGGAATTAAAGCTCCTAATAATAAATAATACTGGGATAGACATCTCAAAAGCGTCATACCTGTCTGACAAGTTAATCCAGTCCAACCGGCATCGCATCCGGAGTGACAGTAACCGTCCTGGTCACAGTTCTCTTGGCCTCCTTCACAATGGCACGTCAGTTCACAATTTTCACCAAAGCGGTTTCCTTGGCAGGCTATTCAGTAGTAACAATAATATAAAAGTAATAACAATAATTAATAAAGATTTTTTCCAATATTTTTGCGATAATTTTTACTAAAATTCTCTAAGAAATTAAAACATTACTCTTGTGCTTCAACGTTTAACGTACGTATTGGTCAGCCACACCCAAAATCCTGTGTTCAATCCTGGATTAAATTCCAGTTTGCATTTTGGCGCGCATTTTGTCTACAAAAGCCTCTCAGATGGAACGGTTGTTAGCGATTCCAGATGGCAAAGTTGAGGAAACTCCTCTCGAGAGGCTGCTGGTAGAGGAACAAGGATGGGAGACTCTCGGACCATGTCCCGGAGCGTTCTCTCTCGGAAATTCGAATTGAGGTAGAAATTTAACAGTTAGCTAGGTAAAGTAATACTTGGATGACCAATGGCCTTTTGAATTCAGTGGACACTTGAAGGAAATACAGAGGTTGTTCACACATTTTTTAGACGATGTGTATTCTATTCACAAAACTAAATTTAAAAAAATTCTTGTATTTTAAATGTTCTTTTTGACATCCCTTATTCTGAACTATTTTCAACACCGCAGTTTGCAGGATAATAATGCCTTTTGAAGTGGCAGAAGAGATATTCTATCCCATTCTTCCCGAACAGCTTTCCAGAGTCCTGTTTACGGTTTGGGAACAACGTTTCGATAGTGCAGTTTTTAAAAGTTCGAAAGCACAAAATTCCATAGGTGACACATGGGAAGATTTAGTAGGGATATCAGTGAAGGGTATGGCCTTGACACCAGTTTTTTGTTCCATTTCTTTTAGGAAATTTACAGTGGATTTTGATGTGTGACTGCTAGCTTTGTCCTGATGGAGTCTCACAGATGGATGGCACTGTGGGTAAAGCGATGGTATTTTATTCAGAAAAATGGGCGATAAAATATGTTCCTGATAGTATCTGGAGTTAATCTTGTCATTGTTTTGCACTCTCTTTATTTTTAACTTGCCATTATAAGAAAAACCAGCAACCATCATGAATCCCTTAGAAAAACATTCTTTCGATTCTTTGAACCATGTACTTAAATTTTTTTCTCCCCTTTTATGATAATAAATGGCTCTTTTTTTCTTACAGTCATTTAAATACACCCATGCTGCATCTATTGTGACAATTGTGTTCCATTTTTCTTTGGATAAATGTTTCTCATATAGAATTCTGCAGCGTCTCCTGCGTTGAGCGATATGCTTTGGAAGAAGACGATGCACATTGCGTTTTTTCGCTTGCTTAAGATTTAAATCAACGTTTATCATTTTGTTTACAGTGGAAGCCGAGCATTTTAATGATTTTGCAACTGTCCTTTGACTAGGGGATTTTCTTTTAGCATTAAACAACGTACCTTTGCAATAGTCGAAGATGTCCCTTTTTTTCCTTGGATATTTGTTTGGAAATTTTGTCCCACTTGAGGCTCCAATTTGACTTTTTTCTCCTTTCTTGTTGATGATATTACCTATCGACACTTTAGATATCACAAAACCATGACTCTCACATCGTTGTTGGATAACGGATTATGCATATTTCTCTTCGGAAAGAGCGTGAATGTAGCCTTCGAACCACTGCTTTGTTAATTTCGCCATTTTCAATAAAAACAAAACTTTCAAGCCACAGACGATAATTTTGACTTTTCAAAACATAGTACAATTGCAATAACTTCTTTTGCAGCAAACAATTTTTTATTACCGCTTACCAAAATCGTCTAAAAAATGTGCGAACAGCCTCTGTATTTTACGTTATTTAACATTCTACATGTATCACTTTCGTTATTCATCACGTTGTATGATTCTCACTGGTGTGTTTCTCAGTTACCGTAGAAAGTGACGAATCTTAAGAACTAGTTAGCGAATAATCGCTTACGTTCGTGTAACAAGAAACGATAAAATGGAAGGGTAACTAACCCTTTATTATTCCTATAAGATTTAACAAAACTCCGTCTTGGAGTGTACAATAAAAGCCGACATTTGGGCTTAAACTTAAGAGACAAAAAATTAAACTAAAACTAAGATTAACTAAAGAGATATAGCCGAAGATATCAAGATTCTAATCGAGTTGGCCCCTTAACTCAATTTGACTACGGCTCAATTTGACTTATCAAGGACCTGAGTACGGCCGAGCGTAATAACAGCTTTGAGAGAGATAGTGGCCGAAAGGCAGACGCGCGCAAATCAGAAACTGTGATTCTTTCTAACTAAGTAGATTTCGCGGTTTAAATACCTCTTCTCATTAAGTATTCAGAATGATTCCAAAACTAAGTTCTGACTCTTCCAACTTATACCTCACATCAGCACAGTATACACCACATGATTTCCTCGTACGGAATACTAAATTATAAGCAATTTTTTACAGCATTCCATTTAAACTTATTTTCTATAATTTATTTAGAGATAGATTTCCAATTCAATTTTAATGCAGTTCTCACTTCTCAGAAAGGCATAAATACATTAACACCCAAAATATCATCATTCAAAATTGAAAGATAAAGGAAAAAATCTGATGTGTACACCACATGACTTCCTTGTACGGAATATTAAATTATACGCCTTTTTTCTTGCATTTTATTTAAACTTATTAGATTGAATTAAACCTGCTTCGCCGACAGCGCATAAACCACAATAGAATAAATGCATTCTTTAAAATTCACTTTGTTTACCTTAGCGACACTCTGGTGCTAGGTTTACTTAACAGTATTATATTTCGTTCATATTATAGCTCAGAATGCACAAAATGTATATCATTTAAAGAATTATCTAATCGTTGCCACATGTTCTATTCAAATACTATAGTAAAGCTAGAACTATGTATAAAAGAAATTAAACAAATAAAACAAAAAAAGAAACAGTTTTTCAGAGACGATTGAGTATTTCTCATTTAATTAATTCAGTTTTTACTTCGCGAGAAGGCAAAAATACATAAAAACTCAAAATACCTATATTAAAAATTACGAAGTAAATCTCAAACGCTTATTTCCTCGAAAAAATTCCAAAAAGAATTAAGCATGATTTAATTGGCAATAATAAATGAATGCGTTATCTTTGTTGCTGCGAAGCTAAGTTTCTCTAGATTGGTAACAAATCCACTAGTCTCCTGTTTCAAATGTAAACATCAACGGCCGCCATTTAAACAGGCTTAGCGGCAATTAAACAACTTTAAAATTCCTGATAATTCTAAAAATATTGCACAGAGATTTACTAAAGGCATAAAATCCTTAACCGGAACATAAAAACATTATAATTCAATCATTTTTAAAGCAAAAAATGTACAATTTACAAACATATAAAAGTAAAGAAACTGAGATCACTGAGCCGGGTAATAGAGTGGATATATATATAAATATATTTATATACGTTTGGTGCGGCCGATTGCAACCCAAATACGAGGTGCTCAAATACATGTTATATAGCAGTCCTATATACAAAATTTCAACGTTCTGAGGCTACTCGTTTTTGAGTTATGCGAGATACGTACGTACGCACGTTCGTACAGACGCCACGAAAAATTCTCTTCAGAATTCATTTTAAAGCAGTTTTATAATTTTTTTGGAGGAAAAGAGTCTTTTATTCTGTCCTTACGTACAGATATCACGCAAAAACATCGTTAAATTGCATTCGATAGCGGTCAAAATGGATATTTTCGTTGAAGTATGCTGCCTGAAACTTTTCGTGATTACAATGCTTCCTTTTTACTTCTTACAAGGAAGTAAAAAACGAAACACGAAAACAGGTAAAACAATTAAAAACATTTGTTTTACAATTAAAATTACAGTTTCTAGCAAAAGCAAGCCATTCGGCCGGTAAGCAAGGCAAATTTTTCCTTGCACAAAACTAAAAGTTTCCTTTCGGTCCCATTCGGCAGAAAGGCTCTGAAGGTGCAGAAAGACTTAATTCACCGTTTTCCTAAGTTTAAAATGTAAACAGAGATGGCTGATACAGTAGAACAAATTAGGCTTAGCCGCATTTAAAGAACTTTCAAATTGTTGATCATTCTACAACGATTGCATGCAGATTAACTAAAGGCATAAAGACCTTAACTTGAAGATAAGAACAACATAATTCAGTTTTTTCTAAAGCAAAAACTGCGCAGTTTACAAACATATAAAAATAAAAACCTGAGCTCACGAAGCCGAGTATTAGAGTGGGTATATATACATATACATTTATATATATGTATGTAATAATGAAATTCGATAGTCAAGAATATACTTAAAATTCTAACTGTATGTTCTTTTCATTTTTAATGGCGACGTTCTCTTATTTGAAAGTACGTGGAATTAAATCCACAGCCCCGTACTCCAGTTGTTTTTTCCGCCTTTTCTACACGTAAAGCTTTAGAATGTTCTGGAGATATTTAAAGTGAACTGGATTGGCTGACGAGGCTGACGTCATTTCTTGGAAGCTCCGCCTTTCCAAAGGCTATATAAAGACTCGCAAAAGGAATATCGGAGCTTTTTCTTAAATGTCACGATGCAGTAAACTTCCCCCCAAAAGTTATTAGTAATTCTTTTTATTTACTCCGGATATCTGATGTTTGTAATTGCTATTTCTCCTAAACAATAATAAATAGATCCTGTTTTTTAAACTTATCGTCTGATAATTTAAGCTACGAACATCTATGATTCTTCACCAATCTATTTATTCCGGACAAAAGCTGGTACATCACATGTATATATATATAAATATAGTGCGGCCGATTGCAACCAAAATAGGAGACGCACAACTAATATATGTATTTTGTATATAGGATTGCTTATATACAAAATTTCAACGTTCTGAGGCTACTCGTTTTGGAGTTATGCGAGATACATACATATGTAAAACGTCACGAATGAAACCATTTTAAATCAGCTTTGGAGAAAAAGAATTCTTTATTTATTCTTTATGTACAGATATTATGCAAAAACATCTTTAAATTGCATTCGAAATTGGCCAAAATAGAGATTTTCGTTGAAATGTGATAGTCGGAATTTTTCGGGATAACAAT